AGGAAAAGAAGACTGAAATAGTGGCTACTGTCAAGCAGAGTCCAAACAATGACACAGTAGTGAGTGTGATTCCCATTGCATCATAGTAGGAAAGATACTCAGTGTCTTTGAGGATGCAGCTGTCTTTTCCATAATTAGACCAGTAGTCCTGTGGACAGATCATGCACTCAGCAGCACCTAAAAAGAATTGAGGGGAAATGAGTGTTATCTGTTTTCAGAGAAAACAGAATACTGTTTAACATGAAAATATTTTTTCTGTACAAAATTATTAATTTTAATGCTTTCATTAAATAAAATATAAATATATAATGTGGAAAAGTGCAATGAAACATTTACTCCTAATAATCTATAACTATTTTATGTTGGTATCCTTTTGATATTCTAGTTTAACATTTGCCTTTTAATATTTCAAGTCAGTATCACTTACTATAAGATATTGTGTGAATCTGATACTGTACTACAATATATCTAGAGTAAACTTAAATGTGGCACCAAGACTTTAGATCCTTATTATGTTTTTATATATTAAGATACACACTGTATGGATTTCCACCTTAATTGTTCAACATCACAATACATTTAAATTCTTCAATATTCCTTCCACAAAAAATGATCATGCTCTTGGCTCTCTACAATATTTAGGACTCCAGCTTACCAGTAACCTCATAATACTGTCATTGTGGGAAGAAAGGAAAATACTCTTCCATTACAACAACATACAACACGGCTTTCTTGTGTTCATAGGCTCAGTAAACCTGTTATGCATGCTAAGTCATAGAATAGATGTTTATGGCACTTTTATTATGCTGTTTCATTTGTGCAATTTGGAAAGTTAAAATTTGAGAATGTACAGGTAGATTTTTATTGGAGAGCTATTGGAGAACAGATCAAATTATTTTTTGAAAAAGCTGAGAATTATACTATGAATTTCATCTGTTCTTCCTATCTTTCTCAGTCAGTGAAATAGATTGTAAGTTCACACCTGTGGTGTTTGCTATGGTACCATCAGCACAAGGAATGCAATCGAAGCAGCAGATGGGCTGGCCTTTCCTGGCTGCT